AGGGCTTTGGAACTAGGCAAGAAAACTCAGGTAAGGTCCACTACACCCAGTGCACTGAAGAAGGGACAAGAATTGGGCCTCTCAGATACACTCTTATCTCTGTGTGTACAGGAAATCCCAGAGTCTCAGAACCCAGAGGAAGAGTGTCTCCCAGAAGGGGCTACTGGAGGTCAGGACATAAATGTTACAGTGCTCATGCAGGCCTTTGGGAACCAGGCTGAGACGGACCAGGTGAGCTCAGACAGAGACTGCTACTATGGTGTCGTCCTCTTGCCTAGCCATACTTCCACATAGGGACTTGTGGTGTGGAAAGGGAGGCCATAGCTTACTTATTTTCATCCACTGCAGGCCATGTTTTATGCTGTGACACCACTGTCCTGGTGTCCCCATTTGGGGTCCATATGCCCCGTACCTGAGGCAGGCCTAGACGTGACCCAGCCGTGTCAGGACTGTGGAACACACCAGGAGAATTGGGTGTGTTTGTCTTGCTATCAGGTATGTAGCAGGGAAAGGGGGTGAGGTGGAATTTAATCCATGAGCAAAATACAAGTGGGTGTTAATTCCACCCAACGCTTCCTAATCTCAGGTCTGCTGTGGTCGTTACATCAATGGCCATATGCTCCAGCACCACGAAAACTCAGGACATCCTCTGGTCCTCAGCTATGTCGATCTGTCTGCTTGGTGTTACCACTGTCAAGCCTACGTCCACAACCAGGTGTGCCCCGGGAAGACCCCTAACTCATCCACCCCCACCACACACATACCTTCTGTGACTGGGTAGGGGAGAATGGAGACTTCTGAATGACTACCCCTTGATTATTTTGTGTGGTGTGAGGGGTAGTTCAGGAGACAGGGTGACTGAGGGCCAGAGTGGGGGCACTCTGTCGTCTCTCTAACCTAACGTTTCTTGCCTCCTCCTCAGGCTCTACTCGAGTCAAAGAACATCGCCCACCAGAACAAGTTTGGGAAGGATATGCCCCATGCACACTAAGTCCCAGTATGCACTCCTGTTCACCCTCTGAGAAGCCAAATAGAGCATCCTTAGTTAATTCCAACCTGTACCATGGGTGAGGGGCAGCCTCACTCCATCCTATCTTGAACTTCCCAAGTTATAATACCCCAAGGGTGCTGATTGAAGTATAAATATTTGTAAGAAGACTGTGATGATCAGTTGTAGATTGATCCACGCCTGCCTGAAGGACTCCATCTCCTCTGCCCCAAAAGACTGCCTCTGGCGCAAAAAGGGACCTGATATCACAAAGATAATGACATTGGAGAGGGGCATGAAATGGCAGATGTGTAAGGTTGCATATGTAATAAAGTACAAGCTGTTACAAAACTTGGAGAAAGCCTTTTAATCTTGAGTGAGTGGAAAAGCCCCACATTTCCTGGCCAGTATGGCTGACGAGGGCCGTAGGGCTTTATCAGGGCAATTCCCTGCCCATCCAACACCACCTCCCACCAAAAAGAAAAATACTAACTGGACACAGAGCAAGCAGGTTGACTGGCTCCTCTAAAAACTAAGTGGTGGAATCCCTGAAAAAATGAATACGTATATTAGAAACAGACTCAAAGCTGGACCCAGCTACACTAGACTGAGAGATAAAAGTATCAAAAGTGTCTTGTTCTGACTAGCAGGACAGGGCATAGGTTTAACAGCTGGGTTTATGATCCTGGATTGCTTCTTGGGGAAAGGAATGCTTATCATTGACTGAGGGTGGGGAATTTGGGCCATTTGGGGGTTTTATCTCTCCCACAAAAGGAGGATTGCTTTGGCAACTCGAACCCAAGCTGAGGTTTCCTGAACTTTTCTTCATGGGCCACCTTATGATCCTCCTCAAGATGGCAACAGGTACCATCCAGTCAAGAAGGGGAAGGGGGCTGCAACTATCTCAGTCACCCCCCCCCCTTCTTTTCAGGGATACTGTATACTCACCCTATAGCCCATGCTTACTTGTCATTGGGCAGAACTATGTCACATGACTGGCATAGCTGCAAGGGAGTCTAGAGAATGTTTTAATTTGACACACATCCACTTCAGCTCCGGTTCTTTGATCCCTGACACAATGGCACCCTCCCTGGCAACACTTGCTCTCCAGAAACTGGTGAACACAACCTTCTGCAAACTGCCAAAAAGCCTACTTGAGGCAGCACAGGTGCCATGGCCTCAGAGAGGCTCTCACAAAACATTTCCCAAAGTCTGGCCACTCAGGAGTCAAAAGTGACAATCTAAGCACACTGAAAACACGCGACATCACATCCCAGATGAGTGCAAGGTAAGGGAGAGATGCAGCAGGATGCAGGGGCACACTGGGAGGTCAGGCGCTGCCAGCACACCCCCAAGAGGACTTTGTGCATGCACACACTTAGGGGTGGGGACATGACCCTGCCCTCACCTCAGGGCGGGGGACCTGAGGGAGGGTCTCTGCGCATGCGTGCTTGCTCACTACCCCAGTCGGGGCGGGGTAGGAGCTTCTCCTCCGGTGTCAGTCCTGTCAGAGCTGCAGCGGGTCTGGGTCCGAGCGCACCTCTCTTCCCAGGACACAGGTAAGCCGGGCCACCAGGCTGCGGGGCCCCCGGGCCCCCAGCCAGCACCCTGGCCTAAGAGGTCTTTCCTTGTAGAGTTGGGATGTGACTGAGCTGGAGTTGGAGGATCCCCTTCCCCTACCTCCTCCCATTCTCAGGGACCAGCCGCTGCCTCCCAGCCCCTCATGCGGCCGGCTTTGTGGAGACGGAGGCGATGGGAAGTGGGGCTGTAGGTCCAAACTCAGGATGGAGTAGTGCTTTCGCGTGCCCTAGACCCTCAGAAAGAACTGAGCGAGGTTGAGTGCAGGGTCAGATTTAGGGTGAAACTAGGACTCACCCCTCCCCACCCGGAGCTTTGCACCTCACATGGCTGAGTTAAGGGAAGTGTGAGACGTGGTGAAGTCAGGCTGGCCGGCCTGGGAAGGAGCGGGGTTGGAAGGGCTCATCCTTGAGGGCTCTACCGTCCCCTCTACTCTCCCCCATCTGCGCCCCCTCAACTTACCCCCCAGGCCAGTTAGTTGAATGCAAACTGGGAGGTCTGGGCTGCTTAAAGTGGGGTGGAGGTGGGGATTTCCCGGGTCTGGAGGACCCGATGGGGACGCTCCAACAGCACTGGCCGCGTGGGGTGCTTCTGAATTACTTGCGAAGGCTGAGACCTCTCTTCTGTCCATCCCTGGTGGGCGGTGTGACCTCGGGCCCATCGCCTTCACCTCACTTTTCTGAATTCACTGACCCTCATTGCTAAAGGGGCCGTAGCGATGATAACGCTTCAGCGGGTTTCAGGAAGAGTGAGCACGGGCACGCCAGGCCCACTACCTGGCTCGTACTAAGCCCTCGTAACTAGTACCTACTGCTTTTAAGATATTATCTTCGCCAAGAGGGAAGACCCCTTTCACACGTCCCCTGCCTCAGGTTTCCAGTGGCTCCAAAATTCCGGAGTCGTCCTTAACCTCGTCCCCCCTTTTACTTTCTCATCAAGTCCTGTCAGCCCCACCTTCAGAATACCCCCGCGTCTGACCTCTCAAAGTGCACCGCCATCGCTGGCCTGCTGCTGTGCCTTCCTCGCTGCCTCCTCCCTCCTCCCTCCCCGCAGCCTTTCCTCACATAGATCTCCCCTTTCTGTCCCCCAAATGTCTGGGGATCCCCCAGTTCTGCTGTCTGATTTCTTAACACATCAAGGCGCCTTTATGGGTGAGCACATCTAATAACTATTTGCAGCATTTTCCAAGCTATGGACCCCACACCTGGATTCCGCATCTGGGACCTTGCCCGCCTACCCCGACCTCCAGATTCCAAATTCAACAGAACCCCCATGGAGACCTTCAACCCCCCATCAGCCCCAAACAGCCTCTGCTCTAGGCTTTCCGGGAGACTTGTTGCATCCATTATGATGCACTTCCTGAGGCCACACACTAAACTAAAACCAGGATGTATATTGAATGAGTGAATAGTGTTTTGCTATTAATAGCTAACACTAATTGAGCACCTGCTGTGTGCCCATCCTCTCCTAACTGCATGGTAATTTACTTGCTTAGCTTGTTTGTTGTCTCTTTCTCACTTCCAAAATCTAATCCCCACAAGGGCAGGGACTTCAGTCTATTTTGTTCACTGCCACATTCCCTCTTCCCCACCCCCACCCCCGCCCCCAGCACAATGCCTGCAGCCAGCAAAACCCTGAGTTAATGCATGAAAGTTAAATTACAATAAAAATGCCTAACATCTACCAAGCACCTTCTGCGTGCTTCTCACCTATTGTCGAAAAACATTTTACTAATTTGTCCTTGTTGTTGTTGGACTTCCTGATGGGAAGGTCCCTTTCACCTGGCCGGGGCTTGTTTTCTAGTCCACCCTCCCCCACCTCTAAGTCTTTGCCTCACACCCGGGTCTCAATAACCATATGTGAATAAGTAATAAAGGCGAAATTCTAATGATAATGGCAAGCTCGCTGAATAATTTGCTTATTTGTTTGGTTTATTGTCTCCACCTTTCGGAACACGCATTCCGGGCAGGAATGTGGCTGTGCGCTTTCGGGTGAGCTGCCCCTGGTGGCTGGGCTTCGCTGGGATGCCGGGATGCCACCCAAAAGCAAAACCTGCCGGACCCCCGCCTCCCTCTGGAATGGGGAGGGCTGCTAATGGTCTGGGGGTTCTTTTCCCGGTGATGAAATATTCTACAGTTCCAGTGATGCACTCGAATTGCCCTGTGAACGCATGAAAATCCATTGAATTGTTCACTCTGTATCTTTCTGGTCTCTAAATCATATTGCCGTGAAACTGGTTTCAAAGTTCTTGCCTTCAGGGAAGAACAAGGGAATAATGGATGTAGCACACGAGGTGATTAGCACACAAGGCGTGGATGTTGGTATGACACCCAATGTCCCTTTGCCAGCCCTGGTCTCTCACCTAACCTGTCCCCACTTCTCTTTTTGCAGGGCCAGTTGAGCGCACTTCTTCCCGGTGTTGCCTGCTAGAAGCATGCCGCTGCCCAGAAAGCCTAGCATGCTTGACCTGGGCCTAGGTACGTGGAGCTCGAGTTCCCCGGAGGAAAACTCCACGGCTCAGGCCACCTCCAGCAAGCAGCTGCCAGAGTACAAGGCGGTGGTGGTGGGAGCCAGCGGCGTGGGCAAGAGCGCACTGACCATCCAGCTGAACCATCAGTGCTTCGTGGAGGACCACGACCCCACCATCCAGGATTCCTACTGGAAGGAGATGGCCCTGGATCACGAAGGCTGTATTCTGAATGTGCTGGACACGGCAGGGCAGAACACTCACAAGGCCCTGCGTGACCAGTGCGTGGCGATTGGGGATGGTGTGCTGGGTGTCTTCGCTCTGGATGACCCCTCATCTCTAGCCCAGCTGCAGCAGATGCGGGCCACCTGGGGGCCCCGCCACACCCAGCCCCTAGTCCTTGTGGGCAACAAGTGTGACCTGGTGACCTCCACCGGAGATGCTCACGCTGCTGCTGCAGCCCTCGCGAAGAGCTGGGGGGCCCCCTTCGTGGAGACCTCGGCCAAGACACGACAGGGTGTAGAGGAGGCCTTCTCCCTGCTCATCCAGGAGATCCGAAAGGTCCGGGAGGCCATGGCAAAGGAAGCGGCGAAAGGGCACCGCCGTAAATGCCGACACAAGTCTATGTGCCACTGTGGCTGCGTCGTGGCCTGAAGGTCTCCATCAGAGAAAAGCACCGGCTAAGGGTGATGGCTCCTTAACACGAGACCCTCCCCCCAACCCCAGAGCAACTAGCTGTGTAGGACACTGGGTGTACTGGCGTTAGATGGGCCCTCGCTTGGGCGCTTTTCAATGGGTGATGGGTTTTTTGATAATCTGGGGCACTGTTCCGTCAAGTGGAGAGAATTCTGTGCAAAATTAAATAGATGCTGTTCTCAGGTTTCCAACTTGCCTCCGAGCCAAGTGTTATTTATATGGGTGGGCATGAGGCTGGGTAGAATATGACTTGAATTGTGAGAATTATTGAATTTGGAAAATGTCGGGAGCCCATGCAGCTTAGAGTGGGAAGGAGGGAAGGACGCAGAGGCAGACAAGACTTTCAACCTCTGCCCCCGAAGATAGGACCTAAGGGTTTGGTCAGCATTAAAGCGGGTGAAGGGACTACTAGTGACAGGGAGGTCAACGAAAGCCTTACTGTTGAGGGGACAATTGAGCAAACTCTTGAGGGTAGCGAGGGGCTGCAGAAACGGCCAGCAGAAGCCCTGCCAACTTCAGGGCCCTGGCTAAGAGTTCAGGTGGAGTAGCCTCTAAACTCTTTAAACATTACTAGTGGACTCACAGGCCTAAACAAAATATGTATCCTCTCCTATCTTGGCAAAGACTTTCCTAATGACCCAGAGGCTTGGTTCTAGTTCCCAACCCCATCCTCAGAGTCCCAGGCCAGGTGATGATGGGTTGGGAGGGCTGCTGCCTGGTCTGAGGCCACCCACCTTTCTCCCTGCCCCCCCAGCCCTCCAGGCGATGGGAAGAGTTCCTGCATTATGCGCAGCTGGTCAGCAGTGCTCCAGCCAGAACTCTGTGTGCCCCACAAACATCCTCCCCTCGGTGCTTACGTTAGACCCCGGGGAAATGCTGCAGGCCCTGACCCAAAAGCGGCCTACTAGTGGGGGCACAGGTCACGGTCCATAAGCACGCCTCCAATGAGGAGAGGCAGGGATTGGGGGAGGTCCTGAATTGCCAGGTGGAGGCGCAACCCCTCTTCCTCATTTAAGGAAGGCCAGTACCAGCCCTCCAGAAACTGCCACTCACACAGGAACGCGGCTGCTTCAGATCGCGTTTATTGTGGGACCTGGGGAGGGTCTGTGGGGGAGCGCGCGGCAGCCCGCGGGGCTCAGTGCGCTCTGGAAGAGTGCAGGGGCGGGAAGGGTGTGGGGGCCGGGGAAGAGGCCTTGGGCTGGGCGGGCCGGGGCGGAAGCCCGCTCTGGATGCTGGCGGTGTTCAGGGAGGCAAGAGGCGGCGCGCCGGCGCCTGGGGCGCGGGGGTCTCCAGGCGTTTCACGCGCAGCAGAGCCCCCAGCACGCCCTCGGGGGGCATCTCGGGACCCAGATCCTGGTCAGCCGCGCGGCGGAGGCGGCGCGGGGCAGCCACAGACTCCGAGTCTGCACCTCCGGAAAGGATTCGCCCCAACAAGTACCTGCAGGGAAGCCGAGAAGACTGCCGTGAGAACGCGTTCACATGTCAACGCTGGGACCCCAGATGGCTCAGCGCCCCCCTACTTCCTGGGAACTCCGGCCTCCCTCCTCAGGCGTCCGCAGCCCCAGCGATTAGGACGCATGTTCCCGCCTAGAAAGTGCAGCTTCCAGTCTTCTCCCCTCGCCTCTCCCTTCTGCCCTGAAGCCGGCCTCGGAGCCCGCTTTCCGGGCCGAACCCACGGCGGCCCCGCCCCTCCTGGGGCCGGGACCGCTGGCGCTGCGCTCCCAGTACCTAAGTGATCGTGCCCACAGGCAGGCGCCTGCCCCTGCCCGCTCCTGGCCCGGTACCTCAGCAGCTCGGGGTCCACATCGGGCATCTCGTCGCCCGCGTCCTCGGCATCGGGGCTCGTGGGGCCGTCGTCGTACACCGGGGGCCGCGGTCTGAGCGCGGCCGCGGGAGCAGGGGCGGGGGCCAGCTGGGCTGCTAGCGCCGCGGGGTCGAGGCGCGCGCGGAGCAGGGCGCGGGCGAGCTGAGCGGCGGGTGCGTCGGGGTCGTCCTCCAAGCCCAGAGCCGAGTCGGCCGCGCGGGGTGCGCCCCACACTCGCAGCAGCTGCGCCAGGACGCGCGCCTGCTGGTCCTCAGCCTCCTGCGCCTCGGCCCGCGCTCGCTCCTGCCGTTCCGCCTCCAGCAGGTGCGCCAGCGCCCGCGCCAGCTCCTGCACTGCCCCGACCGCCTCTCCTCGGGGCACGGCCCGCCGAAAGCGGCGGGGAGCGCCAGCCTCAGCCATGGGCGCTGAGGCAGCGCTCAGGGTGCGGGGTTCCTGCGGAAAGACGAGGTGGGGGGACAGTGTCGTCAGTGTCCCTCAGGTCAGAGACCCCTAACCCCTGGACCCGCCCAGTGGGCCGCAAACACCCCCAGATGCCACCAAAGGCACCAGGGCCTCTCAAATATATTCAGACACCCCTAAGGCCACTGGAGACTCCAACTATCTCCAGATACACTAGGAACCCATTTTTGCATTTTATAGGTTCCTGTTGTCCACTTGTTTCAACCAAAAGATAGCAGCCTCTAGAATCCTCGTTTTTTAATCACTATATTTCAATAAATCGATATATTGATAGCTCGTTCATCCCCCACCCCGCGCTCACTCTCTCTCTCCAACAGTGTATTAACCAGCCTCCCATCCATAGCATTTCCAATTTTTTGCTATTCTTATAACTCATTCTGGAGTGACTAGCCTTGTTCATATAAGATTTAACAAGTGTGCAAATCTATCTGTAGAATAAATTACTCCAGGGCCCCTCTGGGGATGCAACGGGTTAAAGCACAGCACTATGAAGCTAGCTGCAGCCCCTCCGGTTGGAGTTCCAGGCCAGGCCAGGCCAGGGAGGTGGCCTACATGGCAGCAGACCTCTCAGGACCTGCCCGCTGCTCCCCTCAGCAGTGCACTTCATCAGTCTGTTCTGCTCCCCACTCTGTCTCTGGTGAATGGTCTGGCTGCCCCTGCACCTCTGGCCTGTACCCCAGTTCTGTATGCATAAATAAATCCTTTTTAAAAAATAAATCACTCCACAAACTGAGGTGGAAAAAGGCACAAAATGATGTAAAAATAAACTATTATACTATTATTTTAAAATAAATAACTCCAATGACTAATTTTCAGTTGCAGCAATTTTGAAACAATTTCGATAATCTTAAAGAAATAGAGGGTATGGAAACTATGAACAAGGAATGAAAGACTATTAAAAATGACCATGACACTTTGGAAAAGAAACATGCAGAACATCTAGAAATATATTTTAAGTGAAATTTAAAAAAAAATTAAACCAGTAAGTTAAAAGGCAGCTGGAATATAGTGGAAAAAACAAGACTGAACAGCTTTCAAACAGGGCCACACACATTGACACTTAGTATGTGACAGAGAAGCGCTTCAGAGCAGTGGAGACGGGGCAGATTCCTTCAATAAATCATGCAGAAACAAGGGATCTAAAAGTGATCTCAATGAAAAAACAACTATGTTTCACTAGGTTAAAATTAAGAATTTCTCTTTATCCCAGGATACCAGAAAAGAATGGAGACACCAGAAACCAGAATGGGAGCAGAGATCTGCAATACAACTCGTTAGTAAGGGGTTAGTATCCAATCTGCAAAGGTTGAAGGTGGCACAAGAGAAACTGATATACAATGGACAAAATTCATGACAAAGTATTTTGCCAAAAAAAAAGGGTGGGGGGACAGCTACTAAACATAGGAAAAGTAGTGAACCTCACCAGTAATGTGGGGGATGCAAATTAAAATGCCAGTGAGACAGAATGCACAATACCTCCAAAGATTGCCAAAAATCAAGAGGTCTGCTAATACCCAGTGTCAGCATGGATGTGGAAAAGGAAAACTTCCCTATATTGAGCAGGAATTAAACTGACAAATAACTTTGAAGAACAATTTGGCAAAGTCTAAAAAGCTGTGCATATCCTATGATCCTCTCCAGGAATGTTATCACCTTGAGTAGCTTTGGCACAAACGCCAAGTTCATGAAAAAGCCCAGTGGCACTGTTCATAATAGCATAAAAGTGAGGGAGGGGAAAAAAAAAGGAAAGTCTGCCAACAATTCAAGTGATAATGCATCTATAAACCATGATAGATGCCTATACTCATGATACACTCACGGGTTAAAACAGTATGCAACAATAAAGATGACTGAATTATAGCCACACGCTTTCATGTGGATGAATCACAAAACCAATGGAGAGGAGAAAAGCAAGTTGCACGATCCCACTGCAGATGGCCTGAAACTACCAAACGCCCTGGGGGCTTCCCAGTGACCTCTAGTGACTACCAGGAGACAGGCACCTGGTATGATTCCATTTCCATGGGGGAAACTAAATAATATATTGTTTAGAGATATTTGTGTATGTGATATGCTACAAACAAAAGTAAAGGATCAATAAGCAGAAAATACAGGATGATGATGGAGAGGGCTGCTGTGACGAGCACAGTCTCGGTCATGCTTTTTAAACTGGATGTGGTGGGTGCACACGCCACCCAGGTTATTTTATCATTATTGTTTACACTGAACACGGATGCTAAATAGGCTGTCATGTTAAAAAACAAAAAAAAAAAAACCCTTAAAGCAGACAGCCCTGAAATGCTACAGGAATCCCTGCTCCAAGTGCCCTTGGTGCCCATCACCCTTCAGCCCCTACCATGACACAAGCACCCGCAATCAGGGCTCACACACACAAAAACTGACAGACCTTCAGAAGTCACATACGCAACCCAATACTGGCACCGCCAAACGCATGGCACTGCGTGTTCACATGCAGGGCTGATTCCAGCTGCCAGGCTGCCCAGATGCAAGGCCATGCATGGCCCTTAAAGACACAATGCAGCAACGACATCATGGCTCCCCTCCCCCACAATGACACAGCTCCACCAGGAAAAACAACAAGGGGAAACAGCCTGAAGAACAAATAAAAATCGAGTCACTCGTTCAGCAGAACCAAAATGGGAAGCCTACGCAG